GTTGAATAATTTGGAGGTAGCCTTAAACTCCAAAATTGAATAAGTTACTTTTGTAGGGGAAAAGTATGGCCGGTTGGAGGAGAGGCATAAGAGGGTCATAGAGCACAATAAAGTTTTCAGCTCCACTGTCCGTGACTTTGATGCCAGCCTCCGGGCCACTAGATCCGCACGGGATAATCATTCTGCCTAGGTTGACCGACTTAAAGAAGAACTCCAGTGTCGAACGGCTTCCCTCGTTGTTGAAAAAACATATTCTACATATAGCATGAGGAGAAAGGAAGAGGCCAAATCGGGTGTCATTGACTTCGATGCTGAAATTGCTAAGGCCCGTGAGCTGGAGTCAACTGCCCAAAGGGGTCTTCCAATCCGGCCTGATGCTACCAACTCTTCTAGTTCTAGTTCTGAGTTCTCGGGAACTGAAGAAGAACCACAAAGTGATGATACTGAAGGCCAAAATGGTGAAGGCAAGATATTGAACTGGCGGCAGATCCACCCATTTCTCCTGGGGGTGCAGATGCTTCTCTTCCTATGGGTTCCGGAGATGCAGTAGCTTAGTTTTTGTTTTCTTTTCTTTCCTATATCGTTGTACTTGTGCTGTTTGGCACGTTTATTGTGAATAGAAACATTTTCTCGTTTAAGTATCATGCAATATTTTTCTCTTTGCATACTTTTTGTTTAAGTATTTGCGTAAGTTTTACTCTTTTCGTCCTTTTCATTTTAGTATTTACGCAAGGATTCAGGTGTATTTTTACCCGAAAGCATTTGGATTTAGGGCATAAGTTCTTCCGAAATCAACTAACGTGAGGGTTTCATGAGAGAGGGCCCTCTTATGTTTACGGTCCTCTTGAAGAGGACGTCTCCTATTCATTACGGCGCTAGCATTTAAAGTACTTGTTTAACTTTCAAATAATAAACTTAATTCATCGTTCAAACAAGAAACAATATAGAAATAAAAGGACTTTACTTTATTCCTTCCATTTTCAAAAGTACATAAGCATTCGTTGTGCTAAAAAGAAATTTTCATTACTTGTGGCTAACGTGTACAACTTGTTTCTATGGGGCTGACCGCATAGTCCTGGGTCCCGATGATACAACTTTGTTTTCGGGTTTCATATTTAAGTCGATGTGGCAGTCATTGTTGTCGTATCCTCATATCATTTCCCCCAGTGTTCGAATGCGAAGAATGCGAATTTGAACACTGGAAGTGTTGATCCTTTAGAGATCCCACTAGTGGATGGTTAGATAATCTTTAGTACGGTAACAAGCTTCACTCCCCCCTTAGGAACTTTTTTATTGAGACAAAGACTATCTAACAACCCCCAGTGGCTTGAACTCGTGAACGGTCGGGTAACCCTTGGCCGATAACAAATTTTACTTCCTAGTAGGAACTTCTGCTATCGAGCCAAAGATTAAAATATTCCGTAGTGATCCTTTGTTTGCTTGCCTTGTCATTTTAAGGTCTTATTTATGCTGACGAAGCTTCCTTCGTAGTATGCTTTCCGTTGTTGTCTCGTTAAAAATCTTGCCGGAAAAATGCAATTGGGACAAAAACTGGGCGAAGGAAAAAAGAATGCAGCACATACTTTCAGTGCAGGTGAGGTTCATCAACAATAGTATCTTTTGAGGTGTACCATGTTCCGGTTGCTCGGCAACTTTAGTCCGTCTTGATTTTCCAATTCATATGACCATTTCCCGGTGACAACTGAAACACGGTAGGGGCCTTCCCACGTATGACCCAGTTTCTTGCGTTGAGCTCCCAGGTGCTCTGAGTTACTTTCCTTAAAACCAAGTCTCCTACTTTGAAATAACGGAGGTTGTCTCTTCAATTGTAATATCTTTTCATTCTCTTCTTTTGGGATACCATCTTTATATGCGCCAAGTCCCTGCGCTCGTCAAGCAGCTCCAATTTTACCAATATTGATTCATTATTTGTTTCTTCTTCCGCCCAAAAATATCTCAAGGTAGGTTCCCCTACTTCCACCGGGATCATGGATTCTGCTCCGTACACAAGAGAGAAAGTAGTTTCCCTCATACTTGATTTGGTTGTTGTTTGGTATGCCCATAGTACTCCTGGTAGCTCTTCGGGCCATTTGCCTTTGACTGCTTCCAATCTCTTTTTGAGATTTTGTATAATCACTTTGTTTGTTGATCCTGCTTGACCATTTGCTTTGGATGACAAGGTGATGATGTGATCCTTTTGATTTTTAAGCCTTCAAGGAACTTTGTGACCCTTGTGCCTTGTGGCCCGTTATCGTAGGCTATCTCCTTTGGTATCCCAAATCTAAAAATTATATTCTCCCACAAGAAATCTACCAATTCACATTTGTCGATCTTCTGATAAGGACCTGCTTCAACCTACTTAGTAAAATAGCCAGTTAAAATCAAAAGAAATCTTACCTTACCAGGGGCCAGTGGCAGCGGACCGACTATATCCATCAACCACTTCATAAATGGTCATGGAGACAAAACTGAGTGTAGTGGCTCTGCTGGCTAATGTACCAATAGTGTGTAGCATTGATATTTACTGCATTTTTGAACATAAGCCTTGGCATCTTGATCCATCCAGGGCCAGTTGTATCCTGCCCTAATTAATTTTAGAACTAAGGAATCTGCGCCTGAGTGATTTCCGTAGATTCCTTGATGGACCTCCCGCATGACTTAGTTAGCTTCGGAGGCTCCTAAACATCGGGCCAACGGGCCTTGGAAAGATCTTTTGTATTATTGACCTCCCTTGAAACTATATCTTGCTACTTGTGTAGCGGCCGAGATGCCTTGGGATCTTCAGGCAATTTTCTATGCTTGAGATAGTCAATGATCTCATTTCTCCAGTCCTAGACCGAACTAGTCGTATTTACCTCGTAATAGCTATCTGCATCTAATTCGGAATGCATAAGCTATACGACCTTACTATAGTCGGATCCCTTCATTTTTGTGGACGATCCAAGATTTTCTAGTGCATCTGCTTTCGCATTCTCTTCCCTCGGGATATGCATAATTGACCATTTCCTGAACCGAGCGAGCAACACGTGAACTTTCACTACATATTGTTGCATGCGTTCCTCTTTGGCTTCGAAGACCCTGTAGTCCTGATTTATAACCAATTGGGAGTCGCATTTGATTTCTATGACCTCGGAGTCCAGTCCCCGGGCCAACTCGAGTCCTGCAATCAAAGCTTCATACTCTACTTCATTGTTAGTCAGAGGAACAATTCTTATGGATTGCCTTAGGGTTTCTCCCGAGGGCGTGGTTAACACTATGCCGAGCCCAAACCACTTCATATTGGAAGCTCCATCCGTGAACAAGGTCCAAACTCTCGATGTCGATTCTGACACCATCAGTGCTTCTTTTGTATCCAAAGGTAACATACCTGGACTGAAATTAGCCACAAAGTCGACCAAAACTTACGACTTAATCGCAGTCCTAGGTTTATACTCTATATAAAATTCACTCATTTCGACAGCCCACTTGGCCAGCCTACCTAAATGTTCAGGTTTATGAAGAATATTTCACTGGGGAAAAGTGGTCTCCATATCTAGCGGATGACATTGAAAATAAGGCCTAAGCTTTCAAGCGGCTACTACGAGAGCTAAGGCCAATTTTTCCAGATGTGGGTAGAGAGTTTCTGCTCCCATTAAAATCTTACTAACATAATAAATAGGAGATTGTGTATCTTCGTCCTCATAGACTAAAACGGCACTTACTGCTACCTTAGAGACCGCTAAGTAGATCATCAGTATTTCGCCTTCCTCCGATTTTGACAGTAATGGAAGGACTTGAAAATACCTTTACAAATCCCTCAAAGCTTGTGACATTCCGGAGTCCATTCGAAGTTGTTCAACTTTTTGAGTAGTGAAAAGAAAGGATGCATTTCTCCGAAGACCGGGAAATGAACCTGCTCAAAGCGGCCAGTCTCCATGTCAACTTTTGAACCTCTTTCACTCTCGACAACTGATCCGAGATGTCTTGGCTTTAATTTATCGGGGTTAATACAGTCAAGATACTTTACCACTCGGATTGAACCGATATCAAGCAGACGAGTTATCTCTTCTTTGACGAATTTGTTTTTGACCTTAGCAGTAGGACGTATTTTCTGTCTTACCAGAGGGATGTTGCGATCCAGGTTTAGTTTGTGCACGGCCACTTCCGGGGCAATACATGTCATATCCGTATGTGACCACGTAAAACAGTTAACATTAAATTTGAGAAATTCGATAAATCCAGACCTGAGCTCGGGGTTTAGTTCGTCTCTAAGTGGAACTTCCTCTCCAAGAACTTCTCGAACAATGGGACTTGTTCAAGTTCCTTCGCCGTAGATTTTGTGACATTTGTTTCTTCCGGTACCTGGTTGAGTTCACTCGGTTTAGGAGCAGGTGTCGGCTCCTGTAATTTCTATGTTTCATGCTCCTTCCCTTTGCTACTAGAAACTAAGATTGTATTTATCTCTCTTGTCGTCGGTTGGTATCCTCTTATTTATTTAATTCCTTCGAGAGTTGAGATTTCAACAATTGATGATATTTTGACGGTACGACCTTCATCTCGTACAACCATGGTCTCCCCCAGATAATATTGTATCTTATATCATCGTCCACTACCTTGAAAGGGTCATCTTAATCACCCACTCGGCATTCGTGGGCAACAGAATCTCTCCTCGGGTTGTCACGCTTGCCAAATTGAACTCGGCGAGGAGTTTTGTGGCTGGAATGATACTTCCAATGACCTTGGCTTGCTCCAACACTCTCCACCAGATAATATTGCTCGAATTCCTGGGTCTACCAAAACACGTTTAATTTTAAAACCTATGACATTTAGAGAGACTACCAGGGTGTCTTTATGCGGTAGCAGTAATCCATCTATGTCTTCCTCCATGAAAGTAATGTCGTCCTCAGCGGTTTCTCGGAGTCTCTTACTGTAGGTTACTGACACCTTTGTCTTTTTTGTAGCCGAAAATGTCACACCATTAATCTCATCACCCTTCCCCCTCCCAAAAATCATGTTGATCGTCAAATGTGGAGGATCCTCTCCTGCTTTCGAAGGCTCTGCTTTATCGCGATTGCGGTCGTAATTATTTTAGTTCGATCACTCAACAATTCCCTGAGATGGCCATTTTTCTGCAATGTCTCCACCTCTTTGCACAGATGTCGACAGTCCCCAGTCTGGTAATCGTTTGTCCCATGGTATTCGCACCATAAATTAGAATCCTTTTGGCTAGGATCAGATCTCATTGGCTTCAGGAACCATGTTTCTTTAATGTTCCTCATAGCCGACACCAGCTCCACTATGCTGACGTTGAAGTTGTATTCAGAAAGCCTGGGGTAGGAAGAATCTAGAGACCCTGATATCTCCTTGTCCTGCAATGACCTGTTATTCCGGTCACGATCAACTCTCCTATCGGTAGAGAATCTATCCATCGACCGGAAACCTCTGTAGCATCCTCTCGGCCCCTTGAAGACCGTCGATCTGTGTCGAAATTATCCTTTAATTTCTCTTTATTCTTCTCCCGATCCTGACCATTGGCCGACACCGAGAAACCGAGCTGATCATCCTTAATTTTTATATTTGACTCATACTGGTTGTGAACATCCACCCAAGTTGTTGCTTGGAAATCGAGCAAACTTTCTTTCCATTTCCAGGAAGCGTAAGAACTTCTCGGATTCAAAGTTTTAGTAAATGCTTCAGCTGCACATTCATCCCGTAAGGCCGGTAGGAGCATCCTTTCCTTTTGAAATTTGGTCACGAGCTCCATTAGCAATTCTGACTCTCCTTGTGTAATCTTGAATATGTCGGCCTTTCGGACATGTACCTTCCTGACCCAACATAGGCCTTAACGAAAGAGTCTGCGAACATATCAAAGAAGTTTATGGAGTGCTCGGGCAAAAGCGAATACCATGTCAGGGCTCCCTTCGTAAGGGTCTCCCCTAATTTCTTCAGTAAGACTGACTCAATCTTATGGGGAGCTAAATCGTAACCCTTCACCGCCGTTGTATAGGTAGTGATGTGCTCCTGGGGATCTGAAGTCCCATCATACTTTGGCATGTTTGACATTTTGAATCGTTTCAGGATCAATTCTGGTGTCGCGCTTGGTTTGAACAGCAACTGAGTATACTTCCTTGAGTCCGATCCTTTTAACATTGGGGGTGCACCCGGAATTTGATCCATTTGGGCATTTTATTTCCCTGATAAACTGCATGAGTTCAATTTTAAAGGGATTGCTCTCATTGTTGTGACCGGATCCGCTACCTTTCCCCTTGCCCCATCGAAGTAGACCTCGCCCCTTGGGGTGTTATTGTTGACCCTCTGCTTTGTTTTATTTGCGGGAGCACCGGGAGGAACTTGACCTCGTCCATTCGCGTTATTGGAAGCACCTGAAAACGCCTACTTCAACTCTGTCATGATCTGATCCTGTCGTGTGAGATAGCCTATAATGGCCTTTTGTTGCTCTCTCAAGACCCTTACTATTTCAACAACGTGCTTGTATTCAGCATCATCAGGAGTTGCCTCTCAAACATATCGTGGATATTTCCCGTCGTGGACTAGCGTGGCCTCGTCCCCCCTCGTTGCGGGTATCACTGATTGAATCCTCATGTTAAGGCAGATTTCCTTGGGCCTCAACGTTGTGTGCGATGTTGATACTGTTATCTACCATTTTCTATGAGTTTTGCTAAGAATAGATAATCAAACGAGTTAGTAATAGATGCAAGGATCAACTCAATTATATAATTATCTAAGCCTCACGGTGGGCGCCAAACTATTTACTCGTAAAATGATACTGTTAAATTTATGCGTAATTTATAGACAAGTGAATCGATTTGATACCAAAATGATAAATAAATTAGACAAGAATCTAAGACTTAGCGTTAAAATCGAGATAAGATAGTAGCAATCTTGATTCCAAGAGTGGAGCTTCCGGAGGCAGTAATAACAGTATTAATAAGCAAGAAGACAAAATATAATTGAGCTTTTGAACAGAGTATTGTGAGAACGTGATTTTTGCCTCACACGAATTACTCCAAAAGAATTCCCAAAATTAGATTTTTTTTCTTTAATTATGTATTTTTCTAGGAATTACTGTGCGATTTTCCTGATTGTTTGCATATTTTTGTGTGTATATTTAATTCTATTAATGCATTAAAAATACAAAAAATATATCATCTGCACTTAGGATTTGATTTTACATTTTTTGGTTAATTTAGTAAAATGTTGTTTTACAAAAATGAAAAATTCACAAAAAATAACGTATTTTTGCATTTTAGTGTTTAATTTTGCGATTTTCTTTTAATTTGGTATTAATTATGTGTGATAATTATTATTTATAGTTAATTAGTATTTTAAGATAATTTGGGTTTTTATAGCTTAATTTAGGATTTTTAAGTTTTAATTTTTGAAAAAAGAAATTAGAAAGAAATTTGAAAAGAAAAATAAAATAAGAGAGAAAATCTGGTTTTGGGCCAATTTGGCCAAAAGATCCCCAAGCCCAAACAAAAACCCGTCCAAACCCACCCCAAACCAGCCCAGACCCGTCTTCCCCAACTCGGTCTGTCTCCAGCCTCAACCAAACGACGTTGTTTCAGGCGTTTCAATCTGGACCGTTGAATCAGTCTGATCGAACGGTCCAAAGCCTTCCCCATAACTCGACCCATTCCCATACCCGGACCGCCCCAGTTGCTACACCAAACGACCCCGTTTCATTAAAAGGTTAATCATAGCCGTTGGATTCTCATCATCCAACATCCCTAACTTAATTACCCCTTTAGTATACCCCAACCCATTAGACCCTACCCCAAACCAAACCCCCCCTCACTCGTCTCTCTTCAGAGACCAGACATAGGCACCACCTCACACCACCGTCCGCCGCCCGCCGAAAATCGCCCACGGCGGCGGACAACCTCCAATCACCCCCAGTTTTATACCATGGAACCCCCTTGATCTCCTCTTTCTAAATCCATAACCCATTCCCTTCAAATCCCCCTCAATCCCTTCGAATCTCGAATCAAAGAAACGAACCCTAAATCCCCAAACTCCAAAACATTAAGTATATGAAGGTTTGAGGTCGAAATTGACCTTAGTTGTGTGTTCTCGGTCGAGAACACTCGATTAAGGTCTATTCCAACCACAAATTCAAAGAAAATTGCATGCCTAATTAGAGACAGTGTTCAAACATTTGGAGGTAGGTTTCCTGATTTTAATTTTTCTATTTCTTTTTATTATTATCTTCTTCTACTCCTTTCTGTTATTAGAATGTTTATTTGGTCAGTTTTGTTCAATGATTTTTTTATAATTTTTTTTTAATTAATAGATTGTTTGTTGATTTCGTTTGGTTTTGTTTTGTTGCTCAATAGTTTAAACTCGCATAATAGTAGTTCTTGAATTGATTCCTGCTAATTTCGTTGAAAGATTGAACTGTTTCATTTTTGCAGTATTAAGAGCTATTAGGCAGTCTGCTGGGAGATTTTGTTTGTATAAAGATTGAATAGCCTTAAATGATGTGAATTGGGTTCAGCTTGGTCCATGAATTTCAAGTTTAAAAACAGAAACTTTAAGATAACAGTGGAAATTATTTAAGTGTTCACCTAATTGGGAAGCTTCCATAGTGTTAGGGTTTAGGATTTCACTACTGGACAATTTAATTCAATAAGAGTTGAGTGGAATCAAGTTTTAAAATGCTGAAAGGCCATATTGTGAATCAAAAGGGCATTTCCGTTTGCCTATTTAAGAGTTCACATAAACTGAGTTCAAATAGAAGAATACTCTGAAATACTAAAAAGATAGAGCACACACACACACATACAGACCTAAGAGAAGAGAGATTTGAGGGCTGAAAAAATAGAGAGTGACAGAGAATTAAGATAGAAAGAGAGCTTAAGAGATCTTTGGGCTGAAAAATATAGATATAGAAAGAGAGTTTGAAGAGATAAAAATCAGAAAATAAAGGCACTTGCTACTGTTCCATTGAACTTTCAGAGAATTCCAGATTCTTGCAACATCTGAAAACAGTATTGCTTTATTAACGAGATTTAAAATGGATTGATGTTGGTTTTCTGGAGAGTTTTTGGGTCTAGTGTTGAAATTACTGTTCTATTGGATTGGTAACTGATTCTGTGGTTTCAATTTACTGGTTCTCGGCTGACCTTACTGCTGCTACTGATTCCTTATTCCCTTGCTTCCTTCTTGATTTCCAGGTATGTCCTTGGATCTTGAGTGACATGTGAAATGTGGGTCAGAAACATGTAATCAAGCTTTGAAGAAAATGATAATTGTTGCATGTTCTTCTGTTAATCTTCTTCGTATGCTCTCTAGTTTAGCTGTTAAGTATATGTGTTTGTGTCATTAGTGCTATGTGCCCTTGTGAGGTTTAGATTGAGTCTGCTCTAATGTAAATAATTTGGGACTATTTGTACTTCTTTGAAGATGTTTACTAATTGAGAATTGAAGCTATTAGTTTGTTAGTTAAGTTGGTTTGGCTTGGTCAAGATTGAAAGGCAGTAATTCAAATTTTGGGGTCCAACACCCCTGACTCGTATTCTGTTTCTCATTTGGTTTCCAAGCTTTGTCTTCTCATATTTAAAGTGTGGTTTTTATAAGTTTAGTTCATTGTTCACTCTTTCCCTTACTGCTTGTATAATGGTTCTGTTCCATGAAAGATTTCAAATGGGGATCATGTTTGGTTTATGCTGGAAACACCTCTAGTTCAGTCTAGGTCTTTATATTTTTTTTTTCTTCTGATAAATTGAAATCGTAAAATTGTTTAATGTGTTAATGCGAGGTCAAAATTCAGCATGTGAGTTAAGTCTATTTTGAAGTCTTGATTTATTCTTTCATTGGCAATTCAAATCAGTGCTTTTAAATGGTGAAATAGTGTCTAAATTCGAAGGTCTCATTGCAATTAAATTTCATACCTTGGCTGAAGTCTATGACAATGACTTGGGCTGTCATCTTGGCCCAGTCGTGCCAAGCTCTTGTTCTAGTATTCTTGATTCTAGGCTTCACGTTGTAGCCCAGAAGTTTACGATCTCAGTTTGTTTAGATCATGCTAGTGATTGCAAATCCCTCCCCTTAAGTTGATTGATCTTTAATGGTTGAAAGTTTTTTTTTTGTTGTTTAGCTTTACTCAACTAGTTTTGCTTTAAAAAAAATATGATTAGTTAAAGGAGGGGTGTCATATTAGGCAATGCAAATAGCCATGGCTCTCGAGCATTTAGTTTGAATTTTCTCAAGATTAGAAGTGGGGTGCGCCATGCCAAACAAAAATGACAATCGCATGGCCCTTGTTTAATTAAATTTGTTTTAATCCTTAGAATTCGAGGCGTGCCATCTAGTTGAATTTCCATGGCCCTTGCAAAGTTACAAACGCGTAGTTGCTTAGGCGCGCTATTTTAATAATTTACCTTCCTAAACTCGAGTGCGCATTTATGTGACCCAAATCCAAATCTCGACAATGTTATATGAAATGTGTTGAGAACTGTGGGTGCATTTATGTGACGCGTTCAAAATGCGTTTTATGTGACGTTAAATTTTTCTTAAAATCAAATGAAAGCGGTTTAAAGTTAAAATTGCACATAGGTTCAAAATGTTTTAAATCAGATAAATAGGCCAATAATAACAGTTGAGCGACCGTGCTAGAACCACGGAACTCGGGAATGCATAACACCTTCTCCCGGGTTAACAGAATTCCTTACTCAGATTTCTGGCTCGCGGACTGTAATGCAGAGTCAATCTTTTCCTCGATTCGGGATTTAAACTGGTGACTTGGGACACCATTAAACTATCCCAAGTGGCAACTCTAAATTTTATATGAAATAAATCTCGTTTCGATTGTCCTTTAATTGGAAAAACTCCCTTATACCCTCTCGAGATAGGAAAAAGGAGGTGTGACAGCTCTGGCGACTCTGCTAGGGAAGGAACCCAGAACTTCTGGTTCAGGGTTCAGAATTCGAGCTTGGAATAACTGTTGTAGTTGGCTTTTATTTATTATCTGATTTTTACGTATTTGAACCAAATGTGCTAAATACTGCTTTTTACCGCTTTGATATTGCTTGAATTGTATATAAAACTGTTACGAAACCCTCTTGTCTCTAAGTCTTCTAAATCATGGAGAAGGGTTCACTTCGTGTGGCTTCTCTTCTGTCTAGAGTCTTATCCTATTTTAGAACGAGGTTCGG